GATTGTAGCTCTTTTTCTAAAAGTTTCTCAGTGCAGTTGTTTGGATTCATCTGTGTCTTGGGTTTTAAAACATTATAACCAACAACTGATGGTTTACTACCTCTGGGCTTTATTTCCAGGAACAAATTGCCACCCTTAAAATATTTCAACAAATTTTGAGTAACATGACCAGATAAGTGTTTCTTTTCCTTCCATTTTCCAAATTCTGCTAGCAGCTTTGAAGCCAAGTTCAAAATAATGTCTCAAAATTACCAGCATCTTCATACTTGCATCTGCAATTATAACATTTGAATCAAAGCTACAGCTAAATAGCATTGATGATTATGATATGTATGTAAAATTAAAATATATTTGAGTTCATTTTCAGTGGTATTCCTGAAGTAAGGCACCTTTCTGATGAAATCAGCTCTCAACTTGGTATCTGTGCTGATGACGCAACCATTAACTTCTGTCTCGATACTAAATATGATCAGTTTTGATAAGGTCAAATTGGCAGCTGATCTCAAAAATTACCTACAGTCTGTTGTTAACTGGGGCAAAGAATAACTTGTTAATTTTAATGCCTCTAAAACTAAACTGCTCTCTATTAATCATCTGAGAGACTCCTTTCTGCCTTCCATCAGCATGACTGATGCTAACCTCCTGGAGAATGACTTCTTGTGCCTTTTTAGGTTAACATTTTCAGCTGACATTAAGTGGAAAGATTATATTGAATCTATTGCTAGGTCTCCTGCTAAGAAAGTTAGTTCACTGTGTTCTGCTAGACAATTTTCTCTCCAGAATCTATCATACATAAGTCTGACATTTGTCCATGCTTAGAATATTGCTTTCAGATGTGCTCCTGCTATTTATTTAGAGATTCTTGATAAAATCCAAGGGAGAATCAGTAATATTATTGGTCCTGACCTGGCATCTTGGCTTCAATCACTTTCTCATCAATATAAAGTTGCTTCCCTGTGCCTTTTCTATAAATACTTTTATGGTAATTGTTTGGATGATCTCTTCACTATAGTACCTTGACTTTATGAATTTCAGTGCAGTACTAGATTGGCAACAAGGTCTCATCAATTTACATTTGAATTCACTAGATTTGACTGTAAGTTCTATGCTAACAGTTTCTTTTCTGCACTTCCTGCTTGTGGAACTCTCTTCTGGCTCCATGTTTTCTGGCCATCTTTGATCTACAAAAATTTAAATGCAATATCAATTGTTATCTACTGTCTTCCTGATGACTATTCAGTTGTTCTCACTCCTTCATAATGTTTTCTAATTCTTTCACACTCAGTAACTCCTTGTGTCTTAGTAGCTGTACCACCTTGCTTATGGTAAATTTGATTTAAAAAAAATAACCTAATAAAATCCGAAAAATGTTTTTTAACAAAAAGAAAGTGTCAAGCTGTCTTACAATACTTAAATAACTATTTTAAATTACTAAAAATTAAAGAAAAGAAAAGCTGAACGGGAGTTTTTATTAGTGCTTCAAAGATTTGTCAAGGATTTTTCTTTTTCATTATAATTCCATAATTTTTATAGTATCATACAAAAAAAAAAGACCTAATTTAAAATCCCAAGAACCATAAACCAAGGCTAGTATGCTCTGTTATAAGCAATTTTAAAATCAGTTATTATTTTTTGAGGGTTGAAAATCTAAATTCAGATTTTAAGTAAATTTTTTTTGTGTGTGTTTTGAATCAAAATAGAATATTTTATTTAGTATAGGTTAATTTTGAGGAGTGCTCCAAAGGCAATGTCTCCTATTTATTACCACAGAAACTATAATAAATACAGGGAACACAATAACATCATTGTACAGTACAAATTTTCAGTTAGTAAAATTATTTTCCCATTTCATTTTTTTTTTTTTACAGCAGCAATGTCATTGTCAAGAAAATGTTGTCCATATAGTTCATCTTCCAGTGACCCAAATGTGGTTTATCACATATGCCTTGTGTTCATATCCACTGTTAGATTTCCTTAAATATCTATGAAGTTCAATGAGTGCAATTTTTTTTCTGTATAGAAGAAATTCAATGAAACACCTGCCTCATATGCTCTTTCATGTCTGACATCATTTTGCTAAATTGCTGCTCACCTGTTTTTTTTTTTTTTTTTTTTTTTTTTTTTTTTGCAAGAAGGTAAAAGAAAATTATGAGTTATTGGCAAAAAGGTTTGACCATGATACCACCATCTGCATTTGATGTCTTAGGCCAATAGGAGGCATTACTTTTGGAATAACTTTTGCAGTATTTTGGTTTGCTTAGGAAAAACTATTTGATTTAGGAAAATAAAGAGTTTACAAATATAATTGAACTGTTAAATGTTTTGTCAAAATTTGTACTAGGTTTGAATTCTTTTATATAATTTGTCTATCATATTGTCTCCAGTAGATAATACAAAGGTTGCTGAAAAGTTGTCTTGGGCCCCCACTTCCCAAAATATTGCTACTGATAAGAACTTAAAAAAATAGTTATATTATTCAAATTTCTTAGATGAAACATTAATTGATGATGCTTTGATGAAATATTATTTTTGGCTAGTATTTTTTTCATCTTAATTCTGTTGCTTTTCATCACAACACTCAGATCATCTTTTTATAATCTTGCCAGAAGCTTACTTTTTTATTTCCAAACCATACTGCTTACTAATGACCATAGAATGACAGTCTGAAAAGTTGTGATGAAGAGCAAAAGTAGTAAGATGAAAAAATACCAGTCAGAAATTAATAATAATAGGTATGTATTCACTTAAGACAGTCAGCCTTAAGCAAAACAGTAAACAAAACTATCTACAATTAGTGAGATTTATTTTGTTATAACTACTATCATTGTAGGTATTAGGTGAGTCATTTTACAGAAGGCTTTAATTGTAGCTTCTGGAATCTTTGACTATTGAATATTTCTAAGTGGTAATTTCAGGAAATCTTGTCTTCACAAACATGATGTGTCTATATTTCTGAGATGAGGTATTGTAATTATTTATAATATTTATATTGTTCAGACTGTTGTCCTCATCTTCATTGTCATATTCACAATGTTTCAGCCATTGTACACTCTGGTCTTCTTCATGTGATTGGAATTTCAAACTGAACCCTTTATTTTGTACACTGGGGTAGATTGACCCAAAGAGTTCAATACTGGGCTACAGCTGAGGTGCACAAAAACTTAGAGAGTTGAGTTAAAGGGAGATCTGAAACTGAGTCATCTGGAAGTGGCTTGGCACATGGAACTAGAACAATCTACTCTGGTGGACAAAATAAAGGGTTCAGTTCAAAATTCCAATCACCTGAAGAAAGCTGGAGTGTACAATGGCTGAAATGAAATTTGGCAATGAAGATGAAGACAATAGTCTGAACAGTTTAAATAGTGTAAATAATTATCAATGACATCAACAAAATATAAAATGTCGGGTATTAATTAAAATGACTCCAAATGTTTCATTTTATATTAGAGCTAGTAAATTATACAAAGAAATATCTTTGTGCAATTTATTGATTCAAAACAAAAATGTAAAATTACTAATGTTATAATTTAGGGAAATTAGTACATTACAAATTTAGTGTTTTGGTGTCTTCATTTTTAGTCAATACATACTTTATTTTATTATTCTTCATCGAGTTAGTGGGAAGCAAAACTGGCTTAAACCAATATTTCTTTTTTTTTTTCTGTATTAAATGTCAGTTCTTACTTTTTTTCTCTGGTTTTAGCTCCATATTTTAAAATGTCTGTTTCACATGCCATCATCAAATTTTGTACCACAAACAAAATCATTATTTTAAAGAATATTATTTTTATTTTTCAATTTTCTAAAACTATAAATAAAAAAAAAAATAAAAATTTAAAAATGTTTTATTAAACATTATTACTTAGTAGTAATTTTTATAATGCAAAATGTCTTTTATATATATATATATATATATATATATATATATATATAATGGATGCTTTGGAAGTAATACCTCAATTTATTCCCTATAGCAAAGAAAATGGCGACTTACCTCATCAAACCAAGCAACAGCGTGTCGCGTGTATTCTACGATGGAAAATGTGGTGAAAAAGAAAATTACTTACCAAACAAAAGGGCACATATTCCACATGACATGCTGAAGATGGAATATTTGAATTAAAAATAAGTCTGTCGCATGAGTTGCTATAAAAGTATTTTGATATGCAAAATACTGAACATCCTCTCCCAGCTGTCGACGAATGGAAAAAATGCTCAGCTGATAAAAGCAGTTGGTGTTCTCGAATCGGGGAAGGAAAATTCGGGTATTTTGGCTACCACGTTTGTTGGAGAAGGAGTTATTTTTCTGACTGGTTGCGTGCATTGTGATTCGTGAGATAGTACCTGCGAATCGAGTTTTTGGCATTTCTTTCTGCCCCCGATGTTCGAGTCTGAACTTAGTGATTTATTCTCTTTGACATGGAAATAATCTGCGACAAACATTTCCTTTGTAATCCCAGATCGCTTACATTCCCACAGAAACTACAATATATACAGGAAGTTTAAAAACACCATTGGATAGAGCACATTTTCAATTACAAAATACATTTCTCCACAACCACCAACTACGAACAAGTCTCTGTGCAGTTCTGCCCATAATGTGGCCTGTTACATTGTAGCCACTGATGAAAAGAATATTCATTGTCTGGTTGTGCTTACATCCACTGTTTGATCTGCATAAATGTTCAGCAATCATTGATGTATGTCAGTGGGTGCAATTTTTTTCTGCATAGAGAAATTCTATAACATGTCTTGGCTTCATAATCCCTTGCTGTGAAGCTGTTCACTGTGATAAAAAAAATATATGGGTTATTGGCAGAAAAGCCTAACTTCTACTGCTATACTATCAAAATCTGCCTGTGATGTTATAGGCCAGCATAATAAATAAGAGATATTACTTTTGGGGTAGTCCTCATATATTACATAAAAAGAAAAAAATAATGTAATATGTGATATATTTACTTGAACAAACAAGCAAAATTATTCCTTGAGTGACAAAGATGGTAAAAAAGCCCATTTGGTTGAAACTACTTTATTCAAATATTCCTATTATTTTTGACAGAATTATAATCCGTAATGATGTGATGGAATTCTGGCTTCTGTATATTTTTGTTTATCTAATGACTTTGTTTAATAGTTACATTTTTTTTTTCTAAAAAGATATTTTTAAATTCACAGTCTCTCTCCTAGGTATTTGTTTAGAAAGTGATTCTCTCTCCATATATATATATATATATATATATATATATATATATATATATATATATATATATAACGTTTTATATTTTCAATCACGATAATTATATTGTGCAAATAACAGTTGTTTGACCTCAGGTTCTGTTTTTATTATTTTTTCAGGTTGGCCTGGTGTTTCTTTTGAGCATTGCATCATTGATAATCTATTTCATCGATGCTTCTGATGGGTAAGTATTTTGATCATATCACTGAAAAATACAGTCTATGAAACATTCTTTCTCAACTACTATTTTTGGTAAAGTGGTCATACAATATTTTCTTTATTTAAATTATCATGTGATTTGTTGCAGAGGGTGGGATAAAAGTATTTTTGTTTTGTTCAGTTCAATTAGTCTTTCTTTTTCTACATTATCTTACAAAATACCATAAAATTATAATGGAAATGCAAATTAATTCTTCAAAAATTGTAGAGAGTAATCATAAATTAAAATGCTATTATTTGGAAGTTGGAAATTTAACAATCTATTGAAGCATTGTCTCCCTTGAGAGATATTGTGATAGTTAAAATATTTAGAGGAAAATGTTGAATTATTTTGTCTTTTTAAATAAAATTTGGATATGCATTACTTATTTAATCAATTATACATATTTTTTATATGTATTTTTTTTACATTTATTTTGTTATTTTTAATATTTTCATTTTTTACTAGAATTAAAATCAAAATTATGTTGACTGTTACTGGATCACAGTTGGTTAAAATTAACAATTTAATGTCAGAATTCTTTGTGCCTCTATTTATCTTGAATCCAAATACGTAACACTGAGTTAAATAGACCTTATTAAATATCTACAAACATTTTATAAGGTAAACCACATCAGATATCTGACATTTCATAGTATTAGAGAGTTTTATTCACTATGATCCTCTTGAAATTTCAAGTCATAAAGGATTGAAGTCTATAATACTTTTTATTTCATTCAAATTCCTGCTCATATATTTCTTCTCTTATGGATGCCTATTTAACTTGCATTATATTGAATTTGCAATTTGTATTAGACATATCAAATATTGACCAGTTGCCATCCAAGGCTATAGAACTTGGTCTGTCCTGCTATTTACCCATAGTTGTGGGGAGAAGAAGAGGATTCATACCTTTCTTAAGGGTATTAGCATGTAAGTGAATGTAATGGATTTAATTGGAATTTGAACTTGGCTCTCTGATTCCTTAATCTGAGCCACTATCCATTACTCCACCATGCCTCCTTAGCATCATTACTACCCTTATTTCAAGAATCAAGACCAGAGAATAAACTAGATAACTATTTCTTTAAGTTCTAGACTGCTTTTTAATTGTAGAAATGTTAGAAAAACTAAACCTACATGGAAAGGATATATGAAGGAGATATGAATAATCCACAACTAAATTTGGAGCAAATGACATGTATATAAATAGAGAATAAATTAAGTGAATAAAAAATAAATTTATTTAACAACATACATTACACAAATTCAAACAAACAGATTCAGAAGAAAACTGAAGGAAATATTACATGAGGTTATTAATAAATGCAAGAAGAAAGGACTAATCACAAATTGTAAGAATATGGAATTCATGGTCATGAGTAACAGAGATAGCCCAAGGTACAAGTTACATTCCAAACTGACCTTGTGCCCCATCCTACCAGGGTGGGGAGATGAGTAAATACCAACAGTATGTGTTTTTTTGTTTTTGTTTTTAATAGTTCAGATTGGTCTGACGTTATATTGCATTAATATGTTTAATTACCTAGGTGAATTCATTTTTTTTCTGTATACTGAAATGGCTACATAGAATTATAATTAAGTCTTTTGAAATTGAGGAAACAGTCCAAAGTATAAGCTATGTATTGGGAATGTCAAAATCAAGCAGGTGCAGAAATTTAACAATCTGGGTAATGCAGTAATAGACAATGGAAAGCATGACACAGAAATCTGAAGGGTCATAGGAATAGTGAAAGATGTCTTCCAGAAACTGAGCAAAGTATTAAGCAATAGGAAAATGCCTTTAGGAACAAAAGTAAGATGCAGAACTGTTACGTAATATTTAATATCCTATATGGCAGTGATTGTTAGACAATTTCCTTACAGATGAAGAAGTGATAGATGCATTTCTACTGATGAGTGCAAAGAATACTATTAGTAGAACATGGGAGCAATGAGGAAGTTTTGAAAAAAAATAAAAACTTATAAGGAAACTGATACTTACAATCAGAGAGTGACAACTGATTTCTGGAACACATAATGAAAGAAGCTTGATGAATTTGACATTCACAAGACATGTTTAAGGTAAGAGTAGCAAGGTAAACAGTGACTTTCTTAGGTGCAGAAGTTATTGAGAGCAATGAAAGACAGGAAGTTGTGGAGAGCAATAATTGTTCACATCATGAAAGGAGAAATGTCTACTCTCCATTATGGGTGTTTCTGTTTTCTCAGTCCATTATTAATATCACAAATATACTGACAATTATAGCAATGAGTTGATTGCTATCTTTTTACAGGATATTTTTTTACAAGTAACTCTTTTGGTATCAGTTGATGCTTGGAAATAACCTCCCAAAAGAACTATTCAGTAGATAGTGAAATTATTGATAAAATCCCAAATTTGGCTCAGAGATAAAACGGTACCCAGTTTGAAGGTAATCCTCAAGTCAAGGCTTGAATGTTGAAACCATTCATGAATCCAAACCCACAAACAGATATATTCTCAAAACAGCATATTTCTCAAAGCTAAATTTTATTTTCATAACCATCCATCTTTAGTTCTCCTTCATATGTTTTAAATATGATTCTATTATTTTTGTCTAAATTTCCGGGATGAGCAGTTATCATTATTATTTACACTATTTGCATGTTCTCATCTTTTTCACTGTTATCATAACATTTTGGCATTTGTGCCATCTGTCCTTCATCAAGTGTATGTTGAAATATACCTGATGAAGGCTGGAGGGCATAACAGGTGAAACATTGTGATAACAACAAAAATGAGGACAATAGTCTGCCTGTACATAGGTATTGGCAAATATTTTCCCTTTCAAAAAATAATTACAAATTTATAATATTTTTAGGCCTGGCATCTGAAAAAAAAATTAGTATGACAGAAAATGTGACATTAAAATCAGAAGGTACATTGGAATAGCAAATGATGCTTTCTACAAACTAAACAAAATATTAAGAAACCATAAATGCTGGACAATTTCTTCACAAATGAAGAGAAGACTTGAAGCAACAGAGATGTGGTTCTACAGAAGAATGCTGAGAATACCATGGACAGAAAATATAAGGAAGTTTTAAAGAAAATTAAAAAAAAAAAAGGGACAATTATGCATGAAATCAGTCAGTTGAATTTTCTGAATTATAAGGAAAGAAAACCTGGCAAATTTGATACTCATAGAACATTGAAGGCAAGAAAGAGGAAAGTTGTGAGTAACTTACCTAATGAGCTTGTGTAAATGGATGGCAGAACAGGGAGTGGGAGAGGTAGTAAAAAGATAAACATTGCCAAGACCTTCAAAGGATAGGAAGTTGTGGAGAGTCAAGCTCGCCCACATTGAAGATTAAAAAATTCTAGATTTTACTTGAGTTTGACATTAAAGAAAAATACATAACTATCTTGGTTGTGAGGTACCTCATGGTATAATCCGTATTTTCTCTCCTCTCTTTCACAAGTAAAACATGCATATATCTTTCTATAATTTAGAAAAGATTCATTATTATTTAGATGATATATCAGAAAAGAATTAGTGTAAAATATACTGACTGATTCAGATCATACCCCAGCAATGTGATCTGCTATAGCAGACTTTGTTAATTCCTCTTTGGATATGGCATTTTTCCTTATGGATTATGCACTTGAAAACACTTTATTAGCTGAAAAATTGTGGTCATAACAAAGGCAATATCAAGTTCAATATTTTAAGTAAATCTTGCATGTGTGTGTGCTTTTTCTTTTTTTTAATAAAATATGTATAATTATGATTATGTGTACAGAGATGCACACAAAAAATGTTTGCAACTTTTACTGTTTAGGCAGAGAGAAAACAGGAAGCAATATTGATATGATCCTTGTTAAGAAAAGAACCAGTAAAAATGTAAAATAACAATTATACAAACAATAGCATCTAATAGCATATGCATCAGAGTCAACTTATGTACAGAAATGGAAAAAAAGTTATACATTCCCTTGAAGATTTTTTATTGCTTTACTTTCAAGTTTATATATTTTTTTTAATCCTTATGTAAAAAGAATCATTCATTGAATTAAAATTAATTATCATTGAGTTTACACAGTATTAGGCATCATCACAGTCCTTTAATGGACAGACAGATGTTTGCTTGTTGTACAGTATGTTGAAATTCAGCAAGTTGTTGTGGCAATCTATGTGAGATAGAAGTTTTCTCAGTTTAAATAAATGAAAGCAGAATAAACTAAATCAGATAGAAATAATTCATTTATGATTCATAGCATCATGAAGTCTCAAATAACAGTTGAATCTATGCTGATTAAGCATCTACTGTTTAAATACTCAAATAAAAAATAAATGGCCAGCCAAGTAATAAACTATGAATATGCTACAAGGATGGTGACTGTAATGTTTCCCTTAATAACTATACACTGATGTGCTAAAAGTCATGGGAAAGATACCTAATATTTTTTTAACATTTCACCCCAAGCAAGGCAATAAAGCCACTAAGATGCAGGGTGGGCGACTGAGTATGAAAGTATATGAAAATAAAAACATTAAGGAGAAAGGACAATAAAAGAACATAAATTAAGGAGATAGATGATAACAATTGACACTGCATAAACTTTTGAAGATCAAAGTTGATTGGAAAGCAAGAAGCTGAAATAGTTCCACAAGCAAGCAGTGTGAAAGGAAAAACTGTTAGAATAGAATTTATGGTTAGATCTAGCAATTTCAAATGTAAAATGATGAAACCTAGATGCCAAATTAGTACATTCATACTTACATTCATAAAATCGAGTTACCAAAGAGGGAAGATATGGAGTCTAACTTCTCACCTAGTGAAGTGCAACAATTCAGTGTGGCATCATTTTCACAAGCAGGTACAAGACCTATGGAGAAATATTGAGACATGCTCTCTCAATAGCTGTCTATGGGTGCAGGATCTTGTGTGGAAATAGACCTCTCCTCTATATCCCATAAATGTTCAATTGGACTCATGCA